GCTGCTGCGTGAAGCCCCGCCCACTGTGAGAGGCTCCGCCCACTTTGAAGAAGCCCCGCCCACTTTTCAAAATGGTGCAGAATCGGCAGTATAGAGACTTGGCTTGCATGCTAGGGTCTCGTTCGTCACTCGGAACAAGAAAATCCGGCAAAGTTTATTCCGAATGATCAGCAATACCCTAGCATGCAAGCCAAGGCTCTATACTGCCGATTTGCACCATTTTTGAAAAAGTGGGCGGGGCTTCTTCAAAGTGGGCGGAGCCTCTCACAGTGGGCGGGGCTTCACGCAGCAGCCCTAAAATGCAAAAATTTTGAAAAAATATCGAAAGTCCGCGAAAAGCAAGTGGGCGTGGTCAGCCTAGATTGCCAAACCCTTTAGAGAATGGGCGGAGTCGGCCATGTGTCAATGCCCGGTGGTTTCCAGTCAAAGTGTTTGTGGGAAACAGCAAAAGCAGAAGTTATGAAACAAGATTTGAGAATCTATGTCCGCGCTGACAAGTGGGCGTGGCCGTCGGGGCGGGGCTCGCAGTGATGTCTGGCATGATCTGCTTGATGATGCCCGCCCTTATAAGTGGTTAATTTGATGTGAAAAGTGAGGGTGAATTTGGTTTGAAAAGGGGTGAATTTGGTTTGAAAAAGGGTGAATTTGGTTTGAAAAAGGGTGAATTTGGTTTGAAAAAGGGTGAATTCAAAGTGAAAATGGTATATATCGGCTCACAAATATTATTGTGCAATTATGCAATATTATGCAATTACTTTAATGTAATGTAAAATCTTCGCACATGCATGTTCTCTACAGAGCGAATTTCGCTTTCTCCCAACTCACAGTTTGTAACACTAACATACTACTTGTGCTGTTCGTTGCTGACTGACGCTTCACTTACAACCCTCTCCCATGCAGCCGTCGCATGACCATTGCTGAAGCCCTTTACTGCTACTCATCAAACATCTGTAAACAACCACCATTCATCCAAAATCCAATTTAATTCGTGGTCGGACACGTTCTCGCTATTGATGAGGGTACAAGAATGAGTTGTGCTTCAATTACGGAATCGCGCTATTCGTGTCATATCGATCATATAACGTTGGCAAGCGTTAAAGCAGATTTCCCCATGTGAACTTGTCACTATCAGCCCTCAACAATTGCTAGCACTCCCTGCCATCAACAAATATGGTACCCTCTCACCCCTTGTTTTTTTTTCTCTGAAACAACTCCCCAGTGTTGTTGAGATTTGCAGGGTGTCAGTACGACCCCCCACCTAAATAAGGGTCTCGGTACGAACTTCCCCCCCCCTCCCCTACACCTATATACAAACTTCCCACATTCACACCTACCTACAAACTTCCCACATTTTCCAGTTTTTTTTTCCACCCGGAAATCTTACAACGTAATGATACTGGTATATAAGACCATGAAACAGGAAAAATCACGCGAATAGTCAACCACCGTGAAAATTTTTTCCCAACGCAGCAAATTTTTCCCAAAGGCACATACGACCCCCTCTGTCCTAAGAGCGAATACGACCCTCCCCCTGCCCAGCACAAAATACGACTCCCCTATGAGTTTCACACAACGATGCTGTATCCTATTTGCGCTGTGTACAATCGTTATTCTCGAAAACGGCGGCGCGGACGGCGCTAGCGCAGCCAGAGCAGATTTTCACCAATTGTAGCGCACTCAGGATGCATCATCGTTGAAACGAGGCGCTCCCGAGATTTTTCCTCTTTCTCCTGGCTGCGCTCCCGACCGTACCGCTTTGTACGCCTAATAGTTTGCATGGACCACCACGGTCTGCGACGTCCGCTTCTCGGCCCTTCTTTGCAGAGATATCTCAGTTGTTCCTCGCGGCCTCTCCGTCTTCACGCCACCCTTATTTCATCCATCGTACCTAAACGGAGCGTCGCGAAAAGAGGCAGGCTCTTGAGAAAGTCAGTTTTGACCGAAGCCTACCATGGCCTTCACACACCTATTACTGGCAATGCCGTTCGAGACCCCGTAGCAATACACTCGGTTGTCTATCACTTCCTGTCAGCCCATTATCCGTGGCGGAACCCTCCTACATTGCTTTGGACCTATCGTCGATGACGCACCGCTAGAAATTCGGACAGATAGTGCCGGAAACTAAGTTGCAATAATCCTACCAACAATCTAAATGTCCTCCTTTGTCCGCAAAAAAGCGTTTCGACACGCTTCAGCTCCCCAGAAAGGACTCTGCCGCACCCCCCCACACCTCGGCCTCTGTTTGCTCTGCGAACGCATAGATACGAACGAGCTCGCAAGCCGTTGGTTCCGCGTTAAGATTCCACATCAAATTAGCGGTGAGCCGGCTGTGCCGAGAAGGAAACGCAGCGCTTGTTCTGGCGGGTGATACGCCTCTCCATTGTGGACTTGCAAAACGGGAACGCACCTTGAAGCAATGTCCTCTACCTGTTCCCTTTTCCAACCTACCACAACGAAGCTTCCCCGCGTAGTATCGCATGGTACGAGCATGGTGATTCGCGAGCAATTTATGCTTAAAACAGAAAACTCCTTTCAACGCAATCCTTTGCACAAATAAAAACGTCATAGACGCGCAATACTTCCCCTTCCCAGAAACTCTAACAGCGTTCCTGGAACAGCGGTCAGAAGGCTTCTGATGACATCCTTGGACGAAACCTCGAGCCACTCAAAAAGCCGCACATCCGTTGCATTGTAAAGATACTTGAACTCCAATATGCCTTCAAAACACATATTCCCATCGAACTGCGTCAAAGCGTAATTTGGTTATCATCGATCAGTTTGGTCCAAGTCCGAGTGTGCGCCGCGCGTTACCCTTTAGCATAAGGAAAAGGGTGACTCCTAATTGGGCTGTTGACCATGCAAGCAGATGTCACCTGGTTTGAAGAGTAAATACGACGGCACGGAATCGTATAGATGTATATTCAGTCATCTGCGTACTTACGAGTTCACGGTAACCATTTATATTGCTAACCAATTGTTTTAATATTTTGTAGTCTTCCTTACATCCGGGTCCTCTGCAGCTTTCCGTCCGCTCCATCAAACTTAGCGATGACACTTTTGTGCTGTTTGGTGCTCACCGACCCTGCGGTTATGACCCCCCCCCAGCGGCCAAGTATTATAAGACCCTCCCCCCTCCCCGACGGGTTTTGCTGTACCTTGGGCGGAGCCACGGTCCCGTCGCTAGTGGGCCGCGCTTTCCTCACGTTTTTTTAGGCTGCGTTAAAAGTACCGCCTCTATGCTTGCAAGCACCACTACCATGTCCAAGGGGCGCCTTAGCATTAAATGAACGCGATGTATCCATCCCTCTTACTTCTACACTTTCTGTATTCACGTACCAGTTGGCCATTGGCTTTTATGGCTCGCAGCATCTTTCCTCTTATTGGACTTCCAGATAACTGCAAAACACAAATTTATACCTAAAACATTCCCAACAAAGCAATAGTAAACATCAGATGTTCGATTCTACTCATTCGGCAACCATAATATTTGAAAGAACACCTTTTACGAAACGAGGAGATTAGTGCCAAACATGCATGCACAACATGCCAGAGTTCACCAGGCTTCTCAATAATTTTTTTCGACTAGCAAAGCTTCTAAATAATGAAGATAATTGGAGTTGAACAAAACTTTCATGGACGTAAAGACCAGAACCGTAAGACGGCATTTAAAGAACGACTAGAGTTCGAACACAGTTTGATCGTTAACGAATGAGATCACAATAAAATGAGATTACAGAAAATACCGTGACCACTCTACAGCGCATGATGCAGCATCTTGTGTGGGATGTTACATCCATGTTGAGAGTATGCGGGCGAAGGAAAGGGCGCTACGCGGTATTCGCGTTAGGACCCATTTTATCCAACATGAAGAAGGCTGCGTTCATGGTTTGCGACACGACGTCCACTAGCGTCTCGAGAGAGTATAGCGATCAAGCAAACGCCAGCGCGCTTGCAAGCGTACAGCAGCGACCAGGAGTGGGAGGTATGGGGAAGTAGGAGGCTAGCAGACTGCTGGCCAAGGCGTCATGAAATTGCGGCGTCTGCAACCGCACAGTACAGTTGCTAAAGCACAGAATTATGCAATGTTGTGTACGGTGTAGCGCCGTTATACGGTGCGGCTGCACACGCAGCAGTTTCATGGCGCCTAAACCAGCAGTCTGCTACCCTCTTACTTGCCCATACGCTCCACTCCTGGAAATGCTGGCAAAGGTTATCGACGCTGGCGTTCGCTAGATCGATACCTATACTTCCCTAGTAGCTCGAGACGCTGGTGCACGCTGGCGATCGCTAGGTCAATATTTATACTTTCCTAATCGCTAGCGTTGACGGACGCTCGAAGCTCTGCCGTACGCTGGTGGACGCTGCCGCAAAGTACGAACGCAGCCTTACACTTATCTCAAGTCAACCGTTGTCATAACCTGGATGTAAAGTCCAACACTCTATAATATTGCAGTAAAAAACAACAAGTTCCGGAAGAGTGGAACAAAAAAAAAAGACGAATGAGCTGATATCCAATAGAAATGAAGAACGCATTCGATAAATTTGATGGGAATAGCAAAAAACACAGCTGGGATTTCAAGCCATTACGGGTCATCCCAGAAAGGGCTAAGCTTGAGGAGTCGTTCAACAGAATCAGTTAATACGATATCACGAATTTCAACCCAGAACCAGTTCGATGGATAGTGTACAATAAAAATAATGACAAGATTAGATAATTTCCCCACTAGTTATGCACTAACTACCAGAGAATTCCAAAAAAAAAAACATCGTCTCAATTCTAAAATTACTCTTAAGAACGCGCTCTTATAACAAGAGAAAATGTACACTTTATAGACAAGAAGGCGCACCACATGACTTTGACCAGTTGTAAAGCTTGCCATTGCCTTCAATCCCCATGGAAAGGGAATTACATAAACTGTCGCTGTTCAAACAATACAACGCACATGTTGCCCTTTGGCAAAATCCCTTCACCAAAACAAAACGATATTCAAGGCGTTGCCTCAGCACAATCCCATACTCTTGAGGTTTTTGGCGATTATCATGTCGAGGCAAGCATCCAGCACGAATTGCACATTATTCGTGTCGGTAGCGCAAGTGTGATGGCAGTAAATTTCTCTTTGTGACGACCTGTAATATTAACTATTCCAAGAAGTTATCTAGAAAATGTTTTGCGCCATACCAACGTTTCCAAGTACAAATCAAATCCGCAAAGCGACTATCAAACCACAGTATACAGCTTCAATGATCACACTTGCGAACACAGCGGATGACGCACGGAGAAATCGTATTCCCGCGCTCGCTACATGCGCCACAAGAGATGGCGTCGCGCGAGGGGCCCGAGACCGCTCAGCGTGCTGCCATCTCGAAGCGCTTTGGGAAGTTCTATTCTCAAGGGTTGAAGGTCGCCACAAGGCGATGTCGGGCCAGCGTTGTGAAAACTGTGCTCAGTTTGGTCGGGTTCAACTGGGGTCATTTCGAGTGAGCAGCGAAACTGAGAACCGTGGCACTCTTTCAAATTTCCCCCATATTTTTTCCCGCACCTATTTCACGTGTTTTGGCCGGGAGGCGGTCGTTTGGATCGATCACTTTGCAGTTTACGTGTTCTGAAGTAACGGTACATGCCTACCAGGTTGTATAACTTGTCGGAATCACTGAACTGTAAGGTTTTCGTAATTTGTAGACTACCAAAAGCAGTGACTGTTGGCTCTAGGACTCATGTGGGCTCGGGTTATAATAACAGGTCACGTCCTCGTCCAATGCTCACTTAGGGAAACACACTAATTTGGAAATAACGCCGAGTTCTTTCGCTTGTTATCGGCTTGTCTTGACATGTTCTGACGCGTATGCGACAAAGAAAAATCGCGCCGAACGACATAAACCCGTTTTGGCCATTTCCTACAACCGTCTAGTGCTGTCATGGCCGATGTTATGGAGCTTCAGGATACATCAGCATCCTAAGTAGTAACACGCTCCCTTTAATATACAAATTCGAATGGCTAGGCAGGAGAACTCGTCTCTCGCAGCGCGGCGTCGCTCACCAAGCTTTCCAGCGTGAGAAATTACGCCTTTACACCACAGGTACACGGTCCAAGACATCACTTTCGAGAGACAAAGGCGTGTCAATAACGGAACTAACATGTTAGTGACAGATCCTGAACGTGAAAACGTGTGACGTCACTGACAGTGCTACGATGCTGGTTTCTTCATCATTATTGGGCTAATCGTTGACATTTCTCAACTCTTAACAGATATCGGAGTTGGGCAACTAGTAACTGCACCCGTGCGTGTCTGTGGGTCTGTCTGCCACTACATGGACTCCGAAAATTCATTTAGAAGGTGAGCCGTGAAGGTTGTTTTGGTGAAACCTACTCCGCCCTCTTCTCCTAGAGATAATAAGGCATCGATTAAACGGAACGAAGGATCAAAAAACAGGTCTGTAACGGAAAGTGAGCTTTTTCAAGTCAAAACCCCGCGAGTGGAAACCACACCTCGAGCAACACCCAACCTTTCAGTCCAAAAATGAGTTTTAATTCCTTGAGTTCCAAACTGATTCTTGAGAAAAAAAAATGTCCCGGCTCGGCAAGCATGTGTATTGGTCATTCAGTTAGAAAAAAAACTGCATAACACAAACGAAGAATAGAGAAAAAAGGACCTGTTCAGTTGTTCAAACTTCCATTGAATGTAGTTAATGCATTCTGTTTGATTCTGTTGGCCTTTGTATTCTGGGAAGCAGATCGTCAAGGGGCTGCGTTGAATTTTCTCAGCGAATAGATCCTTTTTATTCAAGAATAAGATGAAGTGGATGTCGGCAAACCACGGACTATTGCAAATCGAATCAAATAGCTTGAGCGATTCCTGCATGCGATTCTGCAAGTGATCGAATTACATCTGAAAGCAAAGCTCTTCCAATCACTATTAACTCTAAACTCTAACTCTTCCAAACCATCAGAATTTAAGACTTAGTTCATCATCTTATCATTTTGAGAGACCCATTGATGCCTTCACCCCGAAAACCATCGGTTAAACGGGCTTAATATTCCGCAGCAAGACCGTACCCCGCACATCAAACGCAGTTAGGAATTTTTTTCCGTCCCGTTGTTGAGTTTTGAGGCATAGATAGGCGGTCATCTGATTCCCCTCGTCTGAATCCAAGGCACAATTCAATAGGGACTTAATAGCAGCAGAAAATGTCTTCTACTTCTCATCAAACCAGGATGATTTGAAGGCCACACACACAAAAGACTCGGCTTTAGCAATTCGCGGGATTTGCTTCTTAGCCGCAAACTCAAAGAATGTCCCACTTTCGCGGCTACATAGTAGTGAAAAACTTGCAGAGACGTCGAAACTTCCGGTTCCGACACCAGTTCTGTTGGACCGCCTACCCAAAAAAGGACCTCTTCACACTCAGCGCAGGGGCGTTCGGTTATTGTTTGTCGGAGCGGCGAGCGTAAATCCGATTTGCGCATCCATTTTTGCTGAATACCTTGCTCATAAGTAATTCTGCTCCCCTTCATTACATTTTCTTCATCAAAGCACATACAAAGGAAAGCAATTTATCTCGCAAGGTGAGGCGCGTTCAACTCACTGCCTGCAATTGTGTTGGTACAAAAGCCCGACGTGCATTGCTTACCGTAACCCCAATTTCTTACACAGTGTTTTCAAAATTATCGTTCGTTACGAACTTTGCTTCAGCGGTTTTGTTTTTCGTTTCTTGTGGCTCAGCATCAGATGACATAGTACTGTATGAGCAAAGAAAGGAATTGTGAGCCAAGGTTGCACAGAAACCGCAGTGCTGAGTTGCCAGCAAGTACGAAGAACTCTTACAATGACGCTGCGTTGCTGGCAGAGAGGGTTTGTTATGCTGCTCTTAAGGATACTTTTTGCATGTCCTTCATGGGAGAATCACTTGTCGGCTACTGGTTCAACAATGAATATCCACTATTTATTACGTGATCGCGGAAATTGTCTTCAAGAGAATGACACAAAACAGTTACTACCTACTATAAGTTCCCCTGGAATTTTAAGAAGAAATTTAACAGCTCCTAATATTAAAGCAAGACTAACAAAACAGCAACCTTCTGCATATGGATAAATTAGAGATTGTCTCTGATCCAAAACGGGACACACCATAGTGGAAGAACTGCGGTGCATTTTCATTGTATTAACAGGTCTCGAGGTATTAGGAGGAGAACAAGTTAGTGGTGGTCTAAAGACAACCGTACCCTCATACCCGTGGATCTCGGTCCTTGCCATGTGTGAGGCATATGGGTCCACAGCTGTAGCATATAGTGTCACTTTCTCCGCTCGGGGCTGGAGGGTAGTAGTAGCCGGGTGCTCTCCATACTGCGCCCTCTCCGCCGCATGGCCGGCCATACGCTTGACCATAGCCAAACATAATAAGTACTCGTCTGGACCCTCTCTGAGCAGGTTTCCTACGGTTGAGAACGTGTTTTGCTGCGTGCCTCCCTATCGACGCAAAAGTTGTACATTGAGGATAGCACGGACACAGTAAGGAGATAGCACCGAGTACGACCACTGTCCAGCCCAGTTTCCGTGCATCTTTGAGCGGAGAAAGTGGCACGCTATTAGGCAGCGTTCAGACTTCGCGACGGCAGCGCTTTGGTCGCGCGATTCGACGATCGATGCGCATGCTTTCGACTGCATCGATCGCGTCGAACGCGCGACCGAAGCGCTGCCGTCGCGAAGTCTGAACGCTGCCTTACAGCTGTGGATCCATTCACTTCGCACAAAGAAACGACCTTTTCTGAGGGCAGGTGTATGGATTGCCTTTGAGGTAGAGTAAAGATAAAAGAGAAGCTCGTCCTGTGCACCGCAAGATGAGCGGTGATCCAGTCATACGCATTCCCCTCAACCTTTGCCCTTATAAAATTTGGTCACGATTTGCACTGATGGAATATAACTGGAATACACACTGCTTGCTGTTCATTGAGATGAATCCTTTGACTTTCATAGCCGAGTGGAGCGGATATCAAGCATCACTTCCGTTCATCCACTATCTCCCAATATTATACACCAATGGCAGTGGACTGGGTGAACGTTATCATTTCTTGGCGCCGTGCCGGTTTATGTCGGTGCCTGGGACGTCTTCGGCCTAGTCAGTGTTGCTAACCCAAGCAAGGCACAGCAGTGGATGTGAGACAAAGCACCTGCGTTTCAATATTAGTGAGCACCTGCGTTTCAATATTAGTGATAGATCGCAACACCTAGATTTTGAGCCTATGTGGCCTTTGTGGAAGACGACATTGCCGTCGAAACCCGAAACCAGAGATTCACGCTCCACATAACCTGATTGCCGTCGAAATATGTTCAGAATAAGGTCGAAAAGGAGGCAATACTATAGAACTTTCCAGTATTTTCAGAAGCAGAGGGGGTGGGAGTTACCGGGTGAGCACTGGCATTGATAGCTTGCCTTCTTGAATGTAGCGCAGGTATTATCCCCCTCAACATTTGCACAGCAGACTGCGGAAACTCATTATATAAAGTGGGTCAGCGGAAAACAGCACAACCTATAGAGGACTTTAAAGCTGCAAAATCGCACATGAATCCGCTATGTGCCACCGCACTCCCCTTCCATCACTGCTCCGCACTTCCAAGAGACGAGAGTACCCTTCGACAGAAGGCGTGCCCACATCCTCCATGGATAAGATCATCATCACAAGTAACCGTCCCTAGTGATTAGAAGACTAGTCACGTTCCATCGCATTCTCAGCACTGCGCTTCATCGACCATGATCCGTTTGAAACCTTTTTGAGTTGTATTCCATCTTCGGAATGAAAGCCAGCCAGCACCAGCGAGGAAGTATTCTTGGAGTCACTGGAGTACTGAGGTGTGTGACGGACCCTCTTTGAATAGGAGAGCTATATGACAGATCTGTAAGGAAACCCGGAAAGTAAACGTTTTCCTTTTAACATCAACGCTTCGACGGAATAATGGACGCGAGAGGGTAAAAAAAGAAGTTAATTGAGAAAGAAATTATTAGCTGAGTTTACTAGTATTTTGGCAAGATTATATGTTAGACGCGTTCAGGATATCGGGGCACATACAACATTTGACCTCGGGGAGCAAACCAAATGGTTACATTTTGGGTGCGCCGCACTGCACCTAATCCCTGCAGCGCACTGTTCATACACGCAAAAGGCTTGATAGACGAGGAGCCAACAAAAATTGAAACGTAAGGCTACGTACATACTTTGCAAATGTAGAGACTCCGCGATTCTGAAAGATGTGCACAAACGTCAGTAGACCGTAATCGACTGACTCCGAACACAAGCGTTTTTGAAGGAGAAAAAATAGGTACCCTGACCTCAAATGCGTTATTAGCCGCGTTTTCCTTTATTTGGCTAATTGCCGTTGACAGAGGGCAAAACACGCGGAAAAAACGAGACATGAATAGACTGAATCCTATTAATTACCAAAAAAATCCTGCACTTCTATTCATGCAAGCAGCGACCAAGCCAGCGCCGTGCACACCATCGTTGCAGGAACCACAGGGGAGGTCGCTATTTGGTCGAGAGGGGCGGGGTCGTATTTGCCTTCTGAAAAAACTTGCGGCGTTGAGATAAATATCTCCCGGTCGATTATTGACTTTCACCTTTATTTTTGTTTCACATGTGCTATATAACCCTCCCTGCTCAACAGCAAAATTATGTGGGGAAAAGTAGATAGCTGGAAAAACTGGAAAAAGTGCTAGGAAGTTAATCTAGGAAAGTGATAACTAGGATGAGAAAGGGAGAGCCGTATTTTCCTCGCGGGTTTTCCCTTTTGACATGTGCTGTGCCCCTCCCCTCCCCTCTCCCGCTCGACAGCTTTAGGAGGGGTAACTAGGGGGGAGGGGGGGGGAAGGGAACTAGTGGGGTCGTATCAAGACATCTTTCAAGGGGGGGGGGGGTGGAACAGACTCGAGCAATATCCTCAGCTAATAATGTGCCCTTATTACGAGAGCGGTTGTACCGGCTAAAAGTTGGGTGGGTATATTTTGCGAGAATTTTCCTTACATGGTGACGGGCCTTAGATCCCAGTCATCCACTGCGCGCGGCCACACAAATGGCACTTCCACGTACGCCACACACCTGCGCGACATCCTGAGGTCAGGCACCAACTACGACTAGCTTATTCGGTCCAGCATAAATGTTAGTATGCTCACTACTGTCCGACGGAGCGCTTCATTGGTGGATGGGACAGCCCATCAGCTAAAGCATCGCTACACTAACTCCCATGCGATTCTAACTTCGAGTACATCTCATTGGGAAATGTCAACAGGGAACTCACTAGCTGTCAACCGCAACGCATGCGCTTCAATGACGTTTTGCCTACATAGAGCATTAACACGTGCGTGTACTCCCGGGAGTACACGAAAAAACTCCGCTTTCGGCGAATCGTGTACTCCCGGGAGTACACGCGCCTATTCGCTGGTTTTTTGTATTTATTTTCTTTTCCCACTAACAATTGGATATAAATAATAATCAAACAATAGAGAAATAATATCCACACATTAGAAGAGGCGTGTATACCTGAAAAAATACTCAAAAACTTTCCTCTTTAGGCGAATCGTGCATTCTTGGGAGTACACGCGCCTCTTCGCTCGTTTTTTGATGATTTTTTTTTCTTCTTTTCACTGGCAATTATGAACAAATCATAAAACAAATATACAAGTAATACTAAGAACATTTCTCGTGTATTTTTCGGAACCAGGTGAGGCAGTAGTGGTTTTACAAGAGGAACTAAGAACTTTCACAAGAATCAAAGTACATCCTCTTTGTGCGGTACCAGTGAACATCAAAAAGGGCAAGAAAGCTAGTTCATTTACCGAAACTTAGATAAAACTTGTAGAAGGGAAAAAT